TCACTGCAAACGTTGTTCCCATAAGCCATCATCAGTTTATCGCTCCTTGTTGACAAGACACCAAGGTATCTGAACTCCTGCACTTGGGCCAGTGGCAGTTTGTAAACCTGAGTTACAGTGTGATTGTTTCCATTTGAGGATTATGACCTCAGTCTTTGAGGTGTTGATCTTCATAATAATTGCATCCTACTTTGGCTGCAAATTACTCCAGTTCCAGCTGGATGCTGTGGTTTGATAAGGCCAATGGGACAACACCATCTACAAAAAGCAGTGATGCAGTCCAAAGCCTTCTAACTGGAGACCTTCTTCCCCTTAGTTTCATCCAGAATTGAGTGACAAAGAGCAGCCTTGGAAGAGTCTAACAATGACTGTGCATGAGTCTGACTCTGACATTTCAAACCATTTTATTACTGCAGTTGTACAATGACCAAATAGACCTTAAGGGATCCTGAATTGCCCTAACCCCAAAATTTCCCATACAGGACTCCACAATAGACAAGTTCAACAGCCTTCTTGTCAATTAAAAATAATTTGACAAACTTGTATGCAGGCTCAAATATTCTAAAGTTTTGGCACCACAGAGTTTTAAACTAGTTCGATGACCAGCTACACTAATAGCACAGCCCCCTCCCCCCTCTCCGGTCCCTGCCTCTACTTCCACAACAGAAGGTATATCATTCAGGTTGAGGGGAACCTGAAAATATTATTTCAACCACCTGCAACAGCACACTTACTGTAAACTGGTTTGGTAAAGCATTGCTTCTTCCTTCTGAGGTGCCTGACAATTTGCCAGAATAACTTTCAGACTGGGCCAGACATCCTGCTTCTTAGCTTCATCAATCCTTTCTGAGCTGTGGTCTGCCAGTACTTCCCAGCTGCTTGTTAACCAGCAAGGTCAGGGGGAATGGATTTCTTCTTTACTCAGACTTTCATCGTTTTTAATTTACTGTCCCCTGTTGCACAGTGAAGAGGGGAAATTGAAAATACCCTCTGTCCTTTCGTCCATCCATGCATGTTGTGACTATGATAACTTGAAAAATAAGTGCGATACCGACTTCCTACATCTAAGAAACTAAGAAAGTTTCATTTTGAAAATTGGGTTTCCACATTAAAATTCAAGATGGCTGCCACCATGACTGTCTGTGTTGAGTATGATTACTTGAGAAACAAAAGAGGTACCAACTTCCGTTTTAGTGTGTAAGCTACATTACATTTAAGTGTAAGAAAGGTCCCTAACAAAAATTGGGTTGCCAAGTTAAAAGCCAAGATGTCCACCAGTATATAATGACCACTGTCACTGCCCAAACTGTTACGGAAACACGATCTGTAGTGTCAGCTCATTTGTGCATGTGCTAAAAGAAATACTTCCAAGTTGCATGGATCGCCATTGTTTATGAGTAAGAATTGTCCTAATTTACTTAGAAAAGATCCCTTTGCAAAAAATTAGAATATCATGGAAAAGTTGTTTAACTTCCATAATTCAGTTCAAAAAGTTAATATTTAATAGATGATAGATTCAGGGCCCAAAGTGTAAACAAATTCAACTATTTATTTATTTATTTTTACATAATTTGGGCTTCCAGCTCATGAAACCCACAACAACATACTGTGAAGACATCAGCCCACACTACTTCTCAGTTTTTGCAGGAAAAAAAGAAAGAAATTAGGATCACATCAAATCAATCAACATATGGTACTTTCAAAACGATATGTCAATCTTCAATACTTTGAATCCCTTTGCCTTAATCACTGCCTGGATGTGACGTGGCATTGAGGCAATCAGCCTGTGGCATTGACTGGGAGTTATGGAAGCACAGATTTCCTTGATGCTTGCTGTCAGCTCTTCTTTGTTGTTGGGTCTGGTGCCCCTCATTTTCCTCTTGAGAATACTCCATAGATTCTCAATGGGTTTAGGTCCGGCGAGTTGGCTGGCCAGTCAAGCACTGTGGCATGGACATCAAACCATGTTTTGGTGCTTCTGGCGACATGGGCAGGTTCCAGGTCCTGCTGGAAGATGAAATCTGCATCTGCATACAGATCCTCAGCAGAAGGAATCATGAAGTCCTCTAAAACATTCTGGTAGACTGTTGTGGTGACCTTGGGTTTAAGAAAGCAGAGTTTACCAACACCTGCACCGGACATTGCACCCCACATCATGACTGACTGTGGATATTTCACACTGGACCTCAAGCAGTATGGGTTCTGTTCCTCACCCTTCTTCCTCTACACCCTTGGACCTTGATTTCTAAATGAAAGACACACTTTATTTCATTGGAAAAGAGGACTGAGGAACGCGACAGTTGTAGCCCATCTGAATGTGGTGATTTTTGAAGCTGTGACTCCCGCCTCATTCCACTCTTTCTAGATCTCTGCCAAATTCTGGAATCTTCTCTGTTTGATGATCCACTGAAGCCCATGGTCATCTCTTTTGCTGGTGCATCTTCTCCTGCCACATTTTGCCCTTCCACTAGACTTTCCATTGATGTGTTTGGACACAGCACTCTGTGAACAGCCAGCCTCCTCAGCTATGAACTTCTGTAGCTTACCCATCCTATGGAGGGCATCAATGATGGTCTTCTGACCAGTTGTTGTCTGCAGTTTTCCCCATATTGAATCGAACTGAGACAAATGAACCAAACTGAAGCAATTTAATGACACCTGGTGAAACTTGTGCAGGTGCTTTGAGTTTCGTAGATGATTATTGTGTCACACTCAGTTTAAAACATTCATGCCCTGCAACACCTGGGCTGATTTCTCCACAGTATTCTTATTTTGCGAAATCCTGTTTACGTGGGTTTCATGAGCTGGAAGATCAAATTATGTAAAAATAAACAAATAAATACTTGAAATCATTTATCTTGCTCTATCGCCGTCGATCTTCATGTATTTAATTTACTCCACTCGTATTTCTATTAAAATCAATGGTTGAGATGATATGTGACGCATTAGACCTGACCCCCAGCCTGGGTTGAATGAGAAAACCCTGCAAGATACAGAATGATGTATTTCCATGATGAAACAGCGCCACTCAGTGGTGAAGCTGCGTATCATTTTAATCATGACGTATGTCAATGATTTTAATGGAAATACAAGTGGCGTCAATTAGCAACATGAAGATTGGCGAGAAAGAGCACATCCCTTTCTAAGTAAATTAAGACAGTTCTTATTCATAAACGGAATCATAACATTGTCTAGGAAAATTAATCAATTTATAGAAAGATATATTTTAATTAATATTAATACATATGGTATGTTTCATAAATATATTTTATTAATATCAAGTAATTAATTCCAGTATATTTTCCTTAATCTAGCATATTCAACAGCAATCTGTGCAACCCAGAAGTATTCCTTGTAGCGCATGCGCAAAATGAGCAACGCTATGGATCGTGCTTCCGTAACAGATCGGACAGTGACCCTATCATTTGAGGAAACTCTACTTCCTAGTTGTTAGGAAAGTGGATGAGGGGTGGGGATTACTCAATGTTGGGCCAGGCCACCATTGCCCACCCTCTGCACCTGGTTGTAGATAAATTGCTCCCTCTACTCACCAGGATCTGTCACTCTGGGCCTTCGGACAAGCAAAACCCAATACAATAAACTATCTCTGTCCTTTTACACAGTGTAACCTGTACCCACTTGAATATCTTGCACCAACAAACGTTAACATTAACCTGCATTCCCTGCTCACTTCTAATGCAGAAAAACGCTCTACAACCATTCACCCTTCAAATCACTCGATGACGGAGGACATCAGGGCTACCACCTTGATTGACCGTAATTTGAACAGACTGTTAATGAAGACTATTATTGTTTTGTTTTTGGTTAGCTTTTATTAATATTTTGTATATTTGTGTATTCAGAACAGATGTAGATCAAAGTGTCTTCTCAACGTTTCAAATCTTGTTTTAATATAGTTTTTCATATGACACTGGCAAAATAACAATCTGGGGAAACGATCAGAGAACAATGTTTGCTGTGAATGTCAGTGAGATTATCTTGTAAATTATTTACAGTTAACCAAGAATTGACATCTGGAGAAAAATTGATGTGGACAAACATGTTTCAGAGCGTCTTTCTCCCTGGATGTCTGTATGAGTCACAGCAACAACACTTCTCTTTCCCAGTTACCTTCACAGCAGCAGTAGAAAAAACGTCATATTCTCAGACGCTCGTTGTGTTTACATCTAATCAGAAAAGTGGTGGACAGTTTTCTCTGGGTCACTGAGAGAAAACCACTAATGATCGGTTACAGTAAATTAACTGTTTTAGATTTACAGTAACGCTAACTGTGGGGGGTCAACTCTTGACATCATGTTCACGTTGTCCTATAATAGGTTGAAAGTGGTGCCAGCTCTTCTTCATACTATCCCAAAACTTACATCAGTATATTGAGAGCTTTAAAAAAGACTTTAGAGCAACTCTGCATGTAGCCTCTGTCTCTTTTTCCTTACTGCTGTCCTCTGCTCTTTTTCAAAGAGGAGAAATTGCCTCAAACACTGTTAGATAATAAAAGAGAAAGCCATAATATCTTTAGCACTTTACCATGTTTATGGGTTATATTTACAACAGAAAGGATTACAGTGTATCACGTTGTTCACTGCACTGAACATGCAGCACATTTCTGCCTCCACTGAAGACATGACTCATTCTCTGCACGCTTTGATGACAAGATGAATGAAGTTAACATACTAGTCATTTCTAATTACAACATTTAGCCATCTGATCAAGTATGGCCCCCTGGCAGCTGTCAAAGAGCAGCTGGTAAAGTGCTGGGATGCAGGTAAAAGAAGCAGGGGTGTCAAGTTCACTGAGCCTCTGTCTTTGTTAGCTGTCCAATCTTGAATTCACAGTTTACAAATGAAAGCCAAACCACAGCGACGTTCAGTCTCCTTTACTGCAGTGTTAGTCAGAGGAGGATTTCATCTTGAACTGAACCTCAGGTCTTCCCCTCGCACTCCTGCTCTCAATATACTGGATTTGAAGCATGCAGGATGGAGACATCTTTATATTCCTGCATGGTACTGTACTGACTGCTTCTCTGCATGTCATTTTAAGAGCTTGAATCCCACAGATTAGACACTTTCGTGGCATAAAATGCTTACAGCAGTTTCTTCCCCCTGATGTTAAGCATGGATATAAACACGAGGAGTTGGAGCTTGGAGCACTGCAGAAGGCATGAGTAGATGGTTTGTAATATTTTGTTACAATGGACTGTCTTGGAGGAGAAAATCAATTTGGAAAGAAAAGTTGTCCCCTCTGTTGTGCATGTGCAGTAAATTGATGGATCTTTTAGAGACCTGTTGGGTCTCTGCTAATCTGTTCTACGTCACTGGAAATTTAGCACCGTCCAAACCAGACTCCCCTTAAGAAAAGCTTGGATAAATTCCCAAGAATTTGAACGTGTGCTTCTGCAGTCTTTACACTTTAATGCAAATAAATGCTTTCACTAATCAATATTTAAATGGATTATTTTGAGCTCCTCCTAGACAGCCCATTGAAAACAGTCAGGCAGGTTGAATGAGGGTGGGTGGATGAGGCAGGATTGCCTCAACTGTGGGCTGTTGTTTGACCACAAAAGATGTGGGAAAGTCTTCCGCAATCTGACATTTTATTCTTTTTTCTCTGGATTTCTTTTATTTAATAGAACGTTTTTATTTTTATTTATTTCGCTGGCCTGTGAGCTGACATATCAAGCATGGCTGTCAGCTGTTTTCAGCTAACAACACTTCTGAAGCGACGACTTGCATTGCCGAACCTTTTCTTGGAGCAGCGTTAACTCTGTGCTGGAAGACTTGAAGCAAACTGCTGGTTTGATTCAGCAGTTTAGTCATTTTGGACGCAGTGACATCCATTGAACTGACCTGTGACACTCTGTGCAGTCATTTAGTAACAAGCTCCACTTTTTATCATTTGAACAATCTTTTCTTTTATTTATTTTTTTCACCGATACTGAGTAAAATCAGTGGGTGATTTGTGTCTGAACATGCTTTTTGAATTAGCTTCTCGTTGCTCCGCTCGTCAAAAACAAATTATTCAAGGAAAAAAATGTCATCAGATTTTTCAGTTGTTTTTTTTGTTTTTAAATCAATCACCATTTTATACAAACCAAAAAAGGTGGATTTTTTTTATGTCTTCATGTCTGTTTTTTAGTCCAAGAACCATATTTTTCTACTACTACTAATACTACAATAAAGAAGTGTTAATATTAAAAATGTAAAACACCTGCATGAATTTTGCATTTCAAACTAAATTTGATACGTTTTAGCTACCGTGCCAAAGTTTTACATGTTAGGTATGTCACCTGGCATCGTAGTTCCTTTCTTTCGATCATCAACGCCCACCATCAGCCCTGTTTGCTTCACACAGCAGCACATTCAGCATGCTCACACACTGTGACAACCTGCTCTGAGCTCGTCTCTTACCTGTGCTTTTCTTTATTGTTTCAGGTATCATGACAAACAGGAAGTAACCAGTAACTTCCTGGGAGCCATGTGGCTCATTTCGATTACCTTCCTTTCTATTGGCTACGGTGACATGGTACCACACACGTACTGTGGGAAAGGCGTGTGTCTTCTTACAGGGATCATGGTAGGTTACATGTGGTTTTGCTTAGATAAATGCATCATGGGAAATCAGCTAAACCTGATAAGTAATAAATGTGTAATCAACACAACTATCAAGAGTCAGATTTTGCAACCAAACATTGAATTTTATTTGTATGTTCAGAAAGCTCTTGCTCCTACTCTGTTTGTACAGATCTCCTTGCAGAGCCCAAATAGTTGTTGTTTTGCTCCAAAAGAAAAAAGAAAAACAGTATTGTGTTGGTATTTTTGTTGATTTAAAAAAAGCATTCGATACTATTGACCACACTATTCTCCTTGAAAAATTAAATAAATATGGTATAAGAGGACCAGCATTACACTGGGTATCTAGCTATTTGAAAGATAGGAAACAGTTTGTACAAATAAATGGTGTAAGATCTGACCTCTGCAATATCACTTGTGGAGTTCCTCAAGGCTCTGTACTTGGACCAAAGTTATTTATTTTATAAGTGAATGACTTGGTGAATGTATCAGGACTCCTCAAATGTGTCCTTTTTGCAGGTGACACCACATTTTTTTGTTTGGGTAAAAATATAAAACGGATGTTGGAATTGATGAAGACAGAATTTGATTAAATACAAACTTGGTTTAAACTTAATAAATTATCATTAAATTTAGATAAAATTAAATACATGATATTTAGTAACAAAAAGAGAACTGTTGACGATCCATTTAAAATTGAGGGTGTTGAGATTTGTAGAGTTAATGAGATGAAATTTTTGGGTGTAATCATTGATGAACAGCTAACATGGAAAAATCACATCAATTCTGTAAGAACAAAAATATCTAAATCTATTGCAGTACTATACAAAGTCAGGGAATTATTAAATGATAAAGCTCTGTACATGTTGTATAACACAATCATTGTTCCACATTTAATCTATTGCATTGATGTTTGGGGGAAAGCGTGTAAAACATTTACAAAACCTATTTTTATTTTACAGAAAAGAGCTGTAAGAATTATCACCAGAAAGCATTACAGTCACCCATCAAGCACATTATTTTATCAACTGAACTTATTGAAGTTCCATGATCTAGTAGATTACAGTATTTTATCAGTTATGTATAGGGCTCAAAATAACACATTACCATTAAATATCCAAAGACATTTTGTTAAAAGACAAAGTTGTTATAATCTTAAGGGGATAGAGATATTTGTCAAACCAAATTCAGAACTAGTCTGAAGGGAAGGTCTACCTCAATCCAAGGAGTTGGATTGTGGAATGGTCTAGAGAGTGATGTGAAAAATGTCAAGTCAATGTGTACATTTAAGAAAAAGATCAAAGCTGGATTGTTAAAAAAAATATATGAACTAGCTTAGTGTGTCTTTTGTATTAGAATTAGAAAAATTAAAAAGAGTTATTCATTTTGTTCTGTTACTTGAAGATTATTATGTCTGAAATAATTGTTTGAAAAAAGGGGCAGATATAATAAGATTTTTTCTTCTTTCTGCTGCCTTTCATTTTAAATCTTTTATATCCTTTTTTATATTGTTATGGAATTGTTTTTTTTTTTTTTTTTTTTTAATGAATAAACTTTATACCATACCATACCATACTTTATACCATACCAAAGAGACTTGAATAGTTTATATTATCAGAAATATTTAGGTCAAGTGAAACCTATTAAAATGAAGTTACTGGCTGAACAAATGTGCTTTTTATTTATTGGTTGTCAGCCTAATTTGTTAATAATTTGAAACTAATTTCTATAACATTATCCAGCCATCCATTATCTTTATCTGCTTCTTCTTTTTTGGATGTGGGGGGTTGTGGAGGTCACTGGTGCCCACATCCAGCAGTCACAGTCCGAGAGGCAGGGGACACCCTGGACAGGTTGCAAGTTATGACTACTAAAAAGTGAAGTGGATAAACATCAAGCTTTTTTAATGCAGTGCTTCAGTCAAATTGTGACAAAAGACGTGGAAAAATATTGGATCTTGGGCATGGGCAGCCAAGCCTAGCTGTGGGGAAGAAAAGGTTGGCCTACAGTGAAAATACAACTGAAGTACTGAAATGCTGAACTGTTAATACCTGTAGTAGAACGGTGTCAGCAGTAGCAGCTCCTGAACGCAAACATTAGCTGGGCAGATATTGACTTTAACCCTTGAATCTACAAGCACACTGACGTTTGATCAACCAAAAACACTCTGTTCCAATAATTTAAACAGGCAGGAGATTTTTCCTTCTGAAACAGGCATTTATTTTTATTTTACCTGTGTAAAATAGAACAGATTAATATGTACATTGGTACAGAGTAGTATTTACAGTATACACTACTTAGAGACAGGTCAACTTTTCTTCTGCCAAGTGGCACACAGAGAAACACAATTCAATTCATCTAAAAAAGTTAAGTCTGGTCTTCTGGACATTCAAAAAAACAAAACAAAACAAAAAAAGTAGAAACGTTTTGTCTTTCATCCAAAAGACTTCTTCAGTCTGAGGCGCAGTTTTCAGTTCAGTCATAAATAGCACCTTCTCAGAGTGGATCAACCAGTTTGCTGCTGACAACCAAAACCAGCTGATCACATGATCACAATTCAATTCAGTTTACATCCATCCATCCATCCATCCATCCATACAAACATGCAAAACATACATCCATTCAAACATACATCCATTCAAACATCCATCCATCCATCCATCCATACAAACATACATTCATACAAACATCCATCCATACAAACATACATTCATACAAACATCCATCCATCCATCCATCCATCCATCCATCCATACAAACATACATTCATACAAACATCCATCCATACATCCATCCATCCATCCATACAAACATACATCCATACAAACATACATCCATACAAACATACAAACATACATCCATTCATTCATACATCCATACATACATACATACATACATACATACATACATACATACATACATACATACATACATACATACATATAAAACAAACGCAGAGAAAATGAATAAATTTAAATTACTCAACTATAAAAGCTTACAAGAAATTATAAATCAATTAAGCTCCTCCACTTTAAGAAAGTTCTGCCTGTCATTGCATCTGGTCTGATTCAAATAGTAAACTCATCCCTCTCATCAGATGTTTTCCCCCAGGCTATAAAAACAGCAGTTATCAAACCACTGAATAAAAAAAAGAACAGTCTGGACAAATCACAGAATTACAGGCGAATCTCCAACCTTCCATTCATTTTCTTCTGGTTCTGGTCTGCTTTGAATCCCCAAAACCAGAACCAAACATGGAGAAGCAGCATTCAGCTTCTATGCACCACAAATCTGGAACAAACTTCCAGACAACTGCAAAACAACTGAAACACTGAGTTTCTTAAAATCAAGGCTAAAAACGCACCTGTTAAGAGTTGCTTTTGAACTATAATAAATGGAACATTGATCAACATACTTGATGGCACTCAACAAAATGTAATGTTTGTTACTGGTTTCTCAATTGGCGATTATATGTTGTTGTTCTGACTTTTAATTTTGCTTTTATGATGTAAAGCACTTTGAACTGCTTTGTTGCTGAAATGTGCCATACAAATAAACTTGAGATATATTGTATATATATATATATATATATATATATATATACCTATTGACAACATTTCTTCTTAAATTTGACAATAATTACTATCCATCAATCCATTATCTTTACCAGCTTCTTCCATTTTCGGTCACGGGTGTCGCCAGTGCCCATGTCCAGCAATCACTGTGCGAGGGGTGGGGAACACCCTGGACAGGTCGCCAGTCCATCACAGGGCCACATAGAAATAAATGAGACAACAACCATTCACTCTCTCACTCACACTTAGGGACTATTTAAAGTTACCAATCAACCTAACATGATGTTTTTGGTCTGTGGGAGGAAACTGGAGTACCCAGAGAAAACCCACACATGCACAGAGAGAACATGCAAACTCCACCCAAAAAAAGACCCCCGGATTAGGATTTGAACCGGTGACCTACTCGCTGAGGGGCAGCGGCTCTACAAGTTGTGCCACCGTGCTGCCACAATAATTACTAATTATTGTTAAATTTTAAACAACAACAGAAGTCTGTTGGAGTCAGCCTCCCCACCATCACAGACATCTACACCTCCAGATGCAGGAAGAGGGCCACCTGCATCATGAAGGACCTCACTCACTCAGCACACACACTTTTTGCCCCGCTCCACTCAGGAAGGAGGTTGAGGAGCATTAAGTGTAGAACCACTAGACTGAGGAACAGCTTCTACCCTGAGGCTGTTAGACTCATGAATCTCTAACCAGAATAATCACTGTGAAAAAACACATCATGTTGCTGCTGATCTGTTTCATGTTGCTGCTGATCTGTTTCATGTTGATGTGTTCATGCGTGCTCATCTGCTCACACAGACTCATGTTCGTGCAGCTGCTCAACATAATGTTTTTATGCTACTAGTGCTTAGCATATTTTTAGTTAACGTTTTTCTTAGTTCATATCTTTGATCTTATTGCTGTTTTCCTTTTACATTTCATTGTTGGATGTAACTGGTACTGTATACACAATTTCATTCCACCACATGTACCACACGTGGTGCGAATGACAAAGAAAGAAACTCTGACTCTGACATGCGGCTCTTTGGTCCCTCTGCAGCGGCTCTTTCAAGCTTTGACCCAAACTGAAATAAAACTGAATTTTATTGGTTGTTATAACAACTAAATGGGCTAGTTTTAGCAGTTTTCCTGTAATTTCTTTTGAAAATATATGAATACTAGAAACATTACAAGGAGTAAAACATACTCACTTTCACTTTATTCTTTATTTCTTCAAAGTAGGATTCGTAATTTTTCTACAATAACAAAAAACTCACATAAGAATGCATAGTTTATTGTTTTAGTTTTTAGAAACTGGGCAAAAACTATATTATTTCTCCTTCTTTACAAGAATCTCATATTTTATTTTGTCAGTGTAAAAATATCAACAAATGTTAAAAATCATTAGATATTTTTAGTTTTATAAAATCACCCCTAG